TCTCTTCTCTGTCTTTCTTTCTCCCCCTTCCTTAATAAATACTTATGGCTATTTCCTGTGTTTACGTGTCTGTTACCTGCCGCCACTGTGGGCCAAGGAAGCGTGCCCTCCTGTAGCCGCCCTCATGGCGGGCTCCCTCCGCCAGCCGCCCGGGGATCCTTTGTAGCCGCTTTCCCATGGCGGGCACCGCCAGCCCGCCCGGGAACCGTTTGTAGCCGCTCTCTAATCGTTTTTTAAGAATAACAATATGTATGAGCACTGTGTGTGTTTGTATGTGTGTATATTGTTATGTGTGTATTCACATAAGTGGGTATACCTAGGGTTTCAGGTATGGATGAAGAACAGAGGTCAAGTTTGGGTTCTTTCTTTAGTGATGTGGGAGGTAATGTGTACTGTGAATATGTTTTATTGTCATTGGTTAATGAATAAAGAATCTGCCTTGGCCTGTGATAGGGTAGAGTATAGCTAGATAGGATATGGAAACTAAAATGAATGCTGAGAGATAGAAGGTGGGGTTTAGAGAAGACATGTAGCCCCATCGGAGACAGATGACAGATGGCGCAACTTTACTCGGTAAGCCACAGTCCTGTGGAGATATAAAGATTAATGGAGATGGGTTAATTTAAGATGTGAGTTGGCAAGAAATACCCTTAAGCTATTGGCCAAGCAATATTGCCAATAATATCGTTTCTGTGTGACTTTTCAGGGCTGAGCAGTCAAGAACAAACAAGTAGCCTCCTACAACACTTCAGGAACTGTCCATCTTGTCTTCTGAGACAGAGCTTCTTTCTAAGACCTGAGGTTTACCAATTCTGCTAGGACAGCTGCAGTCTAAACCTCAGCAATCCTCCTGTCTCTGCATCCCAGAACAGGGACTACAGGACCACCATGCCTTTCTTTGTTTATGATTGCTAGGGATCAAACTCAGGTCCTCATTCTGATAGAGCATGCACCAGAGATAATTTCCACTCTCCATTAGCTCTTTTTATGTGTCCTTTAGTATATCTAAAATGTACCAGTCCCTGGCATCTTTCCTCACTATAATGAAACTTCCTGGAGGGAGAAAAGATGTCATATTCTGCCTCACATCCCCAGTCTGTAGTCTAGCAGCTAACGTGAAAACATCCAGCGAGAGGCCGAATGAATATCCACAATTACAAGGACTAAGAATTCAACATGCATCATGCACCAAGCTGGTTCAGATACTCTGTCACTTCCGACTTCATCTTTGCATGAATCCTGGGTGGAAATGACATACGAGAACAGAAGACTGGAATGTAGATATACATGCTTACAGCACAATACTGTCAAATTTAATCTTAACTTTGAAAGTTTGATTCCAAAACCCTAAGTGTTACCCTTGTGATCAAAGTAGGAAGCTCTGGGGTTATAGATAAGGATTAGAAAGTGAGTGAACTGGGAAATGGCGAATGAAGAGCAATTGACCTTGTTTTCATAGCAGAAGAGTAATTCTTCTAATCCATACCTGGGTCAAAGTTGCCTAAGAAGAAACAAACGAACATTTGTAGACAAGATGCCCTGTTATCTGCATTTTTGTAGTGGCTAAATATTGGAAGATTGAATATAAAATATGCGGATACTGAAAGTAAAATTCAATGTGATAAATTACTTACTAATTTAAATATTTAAATGTGCATTTGTCGAGAGTATTTTCACCATGTAGTACTTTATGGGGAATAAACAGCTAGACAAAAATAGCTTTTTAATTCTAAGGCATTTATTCATTATGCCAATATACCAGTTTCGCGTTATAAAATAATTTAGAGTCAGTATTGAATATACCATTGAAATTTCCCCAATTACTATCTGATAATTAATTTATGATATATGCACATTACATTATTCTTCATTAAGTTTTTCCTAATGATGGCCATCACTCACTCCTCTTCCAGTCAATGTGGCAAAACTCCTTTTCTTTGACATTGAATACACAATCTCTGAGATAACGAGTGGTTGAGAAAGACGTTCACATATGCCTTAACTTCTCAGGTCTAGAGAGCATTACAGAAATAATTATACTATGTGACATAAGTAATAGACAAGAAAAACAAGAATACTAAGAGCTATTGGGGCAATACTATAAGATTCCATCTTCAGTGGCTTTGTACAGTTTTCATACTTACATATATTGAATTTTCTTAAAATACAAAGACTTAATTACATGAGAAATTCAAGTTACTATTGAAAACTCATCAGGTACGTGTGTGGGAAGGGGTGTTCATCTGTGTATGTGGATAGGTACCAGGAATTGATGTCAGATTTCTTAATCACTCTCCACCATAGTTGTTTTTTTTTTTTTTTTTTTTTTTAAGACAGGATGTCTCTCTGATCTCAGAGCTCACTGTTTGGCTAGAAGAGCTGGCCTGATGCATCAGGGATCTGCCTGGCTCCTCCCCGACAGGGTGGGATTTACAGACCTGTGTTACCTGGCTGTTGTTGCTCCTGTTGATATCATCATCATTACTTCTGTTGCTACTGCATGGATGCTGGGGATCTAAACTTAAGTCTTAATAACTTCACAGCAAACAATTTACAAGACCCTTGATCTAGGAAAATTTGTTCCGCCCTAACAGGCAATCCTATTTGAAAATATTTTAAATGTCTTGTGAGAAATATGTTTATGAAGTGAAAGTGCTTTACTTTGACACTGCACTTACAGAAGAGTACTGCTTTTTACTATAATGAACCTTTTTCTTCTGTAAAAATAAAGTTTGCTATAATCTACATTGGTCCATTTGTAAGTGATTGTCTCCTCCAAATTTTCTCGGCTTGCATCCGCTGTAAGTAAACTCTGGGGCAAAATCTCTGAGAGCGTTCTTCCATCAAAAAATGGTGCTGGTACCACCCGGTTAACTATGACTGGGTTTTTGCAAATTCTTGGTTCCTAAGCATTAAAAGGATTTGGAAGCTTTATCATTCACTAAGCACTTATATATGTAAAATGTTAAATCGGTTGTCTCTCTAAAATTAATCTCATTTAATACGAAGTATAAATGATCTAGGTTAGAAACCTTGTTACAGTTCCCTTTCAATAAGTAATACTCAGTGCTAATTAATGTATTTGGTACTTAGTAAATATTTATCAAGATTAACAATTTGACCATGAACTGATTTAACCATACTGAACTTAAAATTTTCCTAATTGGGATCAAACTTAATAAGATCGAAGCATTGCATTATTTGCAATATACAATTAATTCAAATCATTAAAAGAATGATGTTCAATTTTCTTCTCACTTTAAATTCAAACAATTTTTCTTTTTTGTAGTTGCTCATTTTGCTGATTAGGAAGGCAAAGTAAGAAAGCAAATACGGATATGATTAAAACTTGAATTTCACTTCCACTTATCTACATGTGACCACAAAATATTTACTATCCCCCACCACACACACACTGTATTCATTGGAGATGTTTCTGGCTACAGTATACAGTAATTTGGAATTTTCAGACAGACACATGCACGAATTTGAATTTAACAAAAAAAAAATTACTGAAATTTATCTGAATACCGTCTGGCTAGCTATAACTGTAGAAGATTTGTGAATATATGCAAACATACTTGAAAATAAAATACCATTTTATCAACACATGGATGTCTATTATGCATAGTAGTCTCTGTCTTTCCTATTAACTGAAATACAAAATCAGAGAGTAGGAGACAGTGCTCCATGCCCAAGTCTTTATTACACGCTTTATATATGCTTATAATCTATTTATGCTGAGTAATTGTTCTAAGAATGAGTTTGCATTTTAAAGCTAATGGTGAAAATTATTTGGCACAGGAAGTTTTCTTGGAACTAAACTTTAGAAAACTAATAATTAGTTCATACAATTCATATAATTAGCTTATATACAGATATGTAGTTATGAACATGTAAACACATGAATGGAATTTAAGTTCAAGGGATATTTGTATGCTACAACTGATGTGTTTGTGTACACTGTTTTTTTTTTTTTTTTGCTTTTTGTTTTTCATGACTGTTTCTCTGTGTAGCTCTGGCTCTCTTGCAATTCACTCTTTCACTCTGTAAACCAAACTGGCCTCAAACTCACTGAGGTCTCCCTGCCTCTGCCTCCAGAGCTCTGGGTTAAAGACATGCACCTCCACCACCTAATATTCTTGATATTCAAAACAAAAACAAATGAAATGAAAGCCTTGCGCTCGCCTCTCTGGGTAGAGAGTTCGGCGCTTACTTAGCTCATGCTTTTACTTCACAGATATAGAAACTGACATTTCAACAGTTTGTCTGACGTGTTTGTTACTGACCTATAAATTTATTTATGAATTCCATTTCCAGTAAGTGAGGATTCTTGCTGGTGATTCCTTAAATAGAAGTGTCATTTACAGCATGCTTTTCACTGAAACCACTGTCCTCTGGCTGCCTGGCAAGTGTTTTCCAGCATCCCCAGGTTTCTCAGATGCTAAGCCTTCTGCTGTGTTTGCTTTGTTCCTGTGCCCACTCCTCAAAGGCTTGCTCCAGTGCAACTCCTTCTTAATGATGTCTTCTTTGGTCATCCCAGCTGGAAGTGATCTCTGCCTCCTCTGATCCACTAGAGCAATTATCACATTCTGCCTTGTAATTCAATATGGCTTAGTAGAAACGCATGTGTGGATGGGTGCTGGGGTTCAGCTGAAGGGGGCCCAATTTTTGGCTTTGCTCCTCTTAAGTAAAAAGACTTGGACATGTCAGTCAGCTTCCCTGAGTCAGAGCTAAGGATTAATCAGACAATCTTAATGAAATTTATGTTTGATCTTCCAGCAATATGGTAACTGATTATGTTAACTAGATAGATAAATTTTGAATAAATATGTCATTCAACTACTAAATCTGTGTTAAAAATCTTCAATATACCGACCCTTGAACTAAACTTTTCTTAAATTTGAAGGACACATACTCATTTATATACTTATATTTTCTACCTTTCGAGCATTTGTATGCTTCAAACAAGAATCACGGGTGTTATTCTGCTGTATTTTATATTCCATAGTACTGTCATAGTACCAAATACAATTGCACAAATCAAACTGAATTTTAGTCTTATTGACAATGTTAAAATACTGATTAATAACTAAGCATCAATAAAGTCTCTTTATAATGGTTAATCCATATAAAAAAGGGATTGCCTTCTAGAAAAAATAAATTTCTATTTTTCCATCAAGAAATATCCATTTGATTCATTATTATGCTGTGTATGAGTCTGTATTAAATGAGATCAAGCATTTA